ACACACACACACACACACACACACACACACACACACACACACACACACACATAATATGTACAAACACAGACGCACATTTTCTGACACGCTCTCAGTGACCACCGACGTTTGCTTTCACAGTGACCAGTAACAAAATTAATGTTGTGCATGCGACACAAGTCCAGTTTTACATTACATATTATCATTATGGTCGCTTTTAAGCACAAGGGGGCTATCCCGAAATATGCTGTTTTGAGAAAATCGAAGGAAACGTGTTTGCCCCTTGTTCAGTTTCTTTAAAAGACAAAGGGAGTTTTCTCTATAACCACACAAATGTATACACACCGATGAAACCAAACTTTTCCTATAGGTAGGGCAATGCCCACTTTGGGTGTTGGTCAAGATTTCTGGAAACCCCCGAAATCTGGGTTAGCCCGCTTGTCCTTAAAAGCGTCCATATGACATGATAACATGAATACCGGTACCTCATTTGATAGACTCTCCCTTTGCTCTCTGGTCAACAACAAATTATGTTGTCAACATTAACAAGCAAGACCAGGGGTATAATAACAACCTTGAACTCTGTTGTATTTGACTGCGGATAAGGGTGAAATGTCGTGCTCTCGGTGTTCTGCGCACTGCAAATCGAGTCGATTTGATTCTGCCAGGCCCAGCCACGTTTTTCCTTCATGAACAAGCAAAAGCTATTATTTTGGATGGTATAATACGACCATTTCGACTCGCAACCTTGGAATACAAACATACTGATTGATTTTGTCGGTCGCTGTCGAATATAGGTGCATTCAACCGTATTGTGTTAAAATGATAGCTTCTGCATCTTCCATGAAGTAAAATCTGGCTGTTCTCGACTGAATCAAATGTATTCGATTGGAGGTGTGCACTTCCCTCAGACTTAGTATGCTACCACCCGTCATCTAGAGTTAGATAGGCATATAACCCCCCCCCCCCAAAAAAAAAACAAACAACCCAACCCAAACCAAACAACCACAACAAACAAACAACCCCAACAACAAAAAAAACCCCTTCTTTCTCATTCATCAACTTCTCGGTATGCGATCAGTAGACGGGGTATGTAAATATATATATATATATATATATATGGCGTATGGATTTTACTCACTTTTCTGATATTACTATTACTGCCAAGCGTAACCTCTGAATGCTACGTCCTTTTTCTCTGAGACGTTTCCCTCTACGTTTGTACAGAAAAGAAACCATGATCTTTCAAGTGAAATTCAAACTAATCGGTACATGTACCTGCAGTATATTTTTTAAAAGTTTAAGAACAAAAAACTGCACAGACTGTAATTTGAATTAAGCCCACATGTTTTGAATTGAAACTTCCTCCAGAAACCAGTAGGGGAAAATTCAGAGATCCAGTTTTGGAGAACACAAGCGAGTATTTTATAATATAAACAGGCGCAGTTCGTCCATAGAGCACGGCCGTGCACTGCCGCCCAAAATGTTTTAATGTTCTATGACGTAAAGCACCCACAATAATAAAATAAAAGACGCCAGAAACAAACACTAGCCAAATATTATATCAAAACAAGTCCCTCACTGGCGCCGTAACTGTCATTTCTATTCTATAGCGCCGTAAAACATCTACTATGCCATGCCTAAGTTCATGCGCTGTATCTAAACATAACAGGATAGTCAACAGTGGAAACCCGACCTATAAATCGCTCTTTGGGATAACCCAAGCGATGACGACGCCTGTAGAGAGTTTGACGGTACATTAATACATGTATTAATAAAATGCCACTCACGAATTACTTGGTAGTGTTCGAATTTTATCAGAGGGCCGACTGTACATACTTGGGAAAGGCACTTTTCTCAAATTTTCCTCACTTCACCCAGGGGGTAGATCTAATGGGTTC